GGCTCCAGATATGAGCCATCTCCCAGCCTCAGCCACATGCAGAAATCTGGAGTCTGACAGTGATGGATCGTGGAAGCAGCTGATGAATGTAACTGCCTGTGGGAGGAGTGGGAGATGCTTCCTCGTGAATCCCTTCCTCCTGAACCAGGCACAGGCCACGCCAGGGTCACCTATCTAGTGGTTTGGGTCCCAACCTTGTGGCTGCTGACCAGTGCTGCAAAGCCAGGTGGTCTGAGGGATGTTCCTCCAGCACCACCACCGTGTGCCTCGTGCACTGGGACTGACAACGTGGCTTTAATGATATGGCCATAAATCATTCTGCCTATGGCAGCTGACATGAGCAGTGGTGCTGGGAATAGCATTGAATTTTCCAGGTGCAGAGAAACCTACAAGGTTGACCCCTTGTTGGCCAGCTGCATAGCAGCTCCAGTGCCACCAGCCACATCTCTATCAGTCCACATCTTGTAGCACAGAAGTGGATGTCAATGAGACCCAATTGCAATAGCCACCACTGGATGAAACCCCCAGTCCATGGAAGTTCAGGGATCTCTGTGCCACAGGAGATGCTCTGGGGGCTGCAGAACACCCAAGGAGAAGCAATTGGGCAGCAATATTATGCAGAAATGGGATACGTCTTGTGACATATCAAAATGCATCCTGTTCCCCAGCCCTAATAATTCGGGAAGCTCATTTGCAGTCCTGGGAACAACTAGATAGCAATTTACAGAGCCTGAACACACTTTTCTGCCTGCTGGCCTTCCCCAGCCTCAGGCATCCATCACTCTCTCATCTCTCTGCAAGCAATGCTGCAATAACAGACAGGGTCCTGCACCAGCGTGAGTACTAAGCTGCACACAGGGATAGTGCTCCAGCAAGGAACCTGACTGGGATGGATTCTTCCTGCTCCCATGGAAGGGAAATTCATGTTTTGAGCTTGGAGGGCTCTGGGATAGGGAAGGAGCTCCTGCAGCAATGGGCTGATGGCTGCAAGCCTATTAGAGCATCACCCATCCCTGCTGCCTGTAGCTCGCGTTCAGCCTGCTTGCATTCACCTTTTCCACCACCTATTGCATCCAGCAGCAGCAAGACCTAGTAAAAAAAAGGGGATAAAAACCAAAAAGACACATGCCAATGCCCCATCATCAGAGCACAAGGCCTGCTGGCTGCAGATCGAAGGCTTTTGATCTTCCCTGACCGTTCCTTTGTCTCTGCAATAGCAGTGACAGGAAAAGCAGCTGGGCAGTGCGGGACTTTGCCTGATAGAGGGGTTTCACCTGATGCTGGAAACAATGCCATCCATAGAAGCCCACATTGTTACCTTGACATTTGGAAGCAATTACCTGCATGTTATGTAAAACTTTTATTAAACGACTGGAGAAATTCGGTAATGTGTTAATCATCGGTTGAATGACATCTGCTTAATACCAGAGATTTTTGAACTGCGGGAGAAGGGTTCAGCAGTTCAGAATGATTACCAAAACATATTGCTCCTTTTTTCGTTCTCCTATGTGTTAATTTTTCAGATTTATTATCTTAGGCTCCCGCGTCTCGTATTTTCACTACATGTCAACATCTGTTATATCTCTGCGTTTCGCAGCTCTTTAGTCCTTGCCCCATGAAGCCTCAGGCACTGGGATGAGAGATGCAGCCAGCCCTAGCCCAGGGCTTATGTAATTTTCCAAACCAATCCTGAGGACAATTAACAGGGAAGTTTGGCTGGAGGAGGCAATTCTGGTGTCCAGAGGGGATCGGCAGACAGACTCAAACTCAAGGAAACCCTTGGGTTTAAAGAAAAGACCTGGCTGTCAGGATGAGTCTTGGGAACAGCAAACTAGTTCTTTGAGGAACGTGGTGGGTGGAAATGTGTCATGGAGAGATGCTCACACCTCTCCCACTCCTTTCCTTTGATCCAGCAGACCTGGAGTCACTGCGATTTCAAGGCACACAGCAAATCCCTTCAGGGATGCTCATCTTATGGAGATGCAGTCCAAGGGAAAAGGGGGGCTCTGTGTGAGCCAAGGGTCTGGTGCCGATGTGTCTGTGGAGATCTGGAGCCTACAGCCTGGGTCTGGCAGGGAATGGCTGCCCTGTGCGGATGGGAGACTGTCCCCACTGCCACTTCTGCTGTTGGTTCACCAAAGCCTCCATCCAGTCCTTGGCCTCCTCTGGGCTGTCCTTCTGCCATCACTCCCTACATGGGTGAGCTGCCCTGGTTTAACACCTCTCTAAGGCAACGCTTTACTTTCTGACGACTTTGCAGATTGTGCCTTGTCCCAGCGGCACTCGGGTCCAGGCCAGATCCCAGCCAGATGCCTGCTGGCACTGGGATGGCAAGGGGCATCCCTTCTTCAAAGCTGTACATTCTGGTAGTGACATTGCTCCTTCTGGCTGTGATGTTCCTGCACACGTCCAGTGATGGAGGGTCTTGGATCCATCTGCAGTGCTGTTCTATGGCACACTGCATCTTTTCCTGGGTAAATGCCAGTGGCTGCACGAGGCAGTGCATTACCTCATAGCCTAAGGCAGTAGAATGGAGACCAATGCCCAGCTTTGCTGGATGGGTGCAAGAACGGGCAGCTGCCCAAAAAACATCCAGATCGTTCGTAGGGAGAAATACAGAGTGTCTCACTGGGTTTGTATTGGGCGTAGAAGATGTACTGGCCCTTCACTGTGACTTTTATCCTGCCTCTATGAAATATATGGACATGCTAAAGTACAGCAGCACCAGGTGCTTGCTGTGGGATGTGGTTCAGCAGTGATAGGAATCAAAGTGCAGCAACGACAAAGATGGATATCCATCTTTGAAGCTCTTGTAGGGAGAGTCCACTCTAATATGGTTTCATAGAATGCCTTTTTGCAGGTAATTTCCATGCTCTGTGCTGGGTCATGTTCCACAAGATATGTGCATTATATATGAGCAGAAAAACTTTCAGCTCCCAGCTATCAAGCCACGCTGCTAATTTAAGCTTTTTTTATTATTATTTTTTTCCCTCACCCATAATCTGCTCCTTCCCCAGTAAAAATTACGGATTCCATTTATCTTTGTTTTCTGAGGGCTCCTACACATCCCTGCGCCCTGTCTCCACATAATGCTTCACGTAATGCAACCTTTCCCTCTGCCTTCCTGTGTAGTTTGGGTTATTTTTGTAACCTTATGTATTCTATTTGGATGGGTGGGAAATAATAAAAGGCACATCTTGAAAGGCCAGCCCTGTAAAAGACCAGGACCTGAGCACCTGATGGAGCAGTAGGTGTCCCTTTCATTGCTGGGAGTTGGACCAGATGGCCTTTAAAGATCCCTTCCAACTCAAACCATTCTATCATTCTGTGGTTCTCAACTCCCTCCCAGTCCCTGGGAAGACAAAGCAGTTAAAAGAAGTCATAAAACTGCTGGGAGAGCTGTACATCCCCAGGGCCGTAGCCTAGGATCCATCTTCAGACAGCAGAAGGGTGCTTTGGAGGGATGTGCAGGAGACTGCAGCACCAGGCAGCTATAGCTAGGGATGCCATTCCTGCATGCTGCTATTTGTTGCATTTGTTGAAAAAAACAAAAAATCCCACTTTTTTAATGTTTTAGAGGGCAGTAAACCAACTGCTCAGAAAGATTTCCCATGAACAGGAGAAGTTTCCTCTAGAGCACTGCGTGCCCCCCAGCTCACAATTCAAGGTCTGACCTCCCTTACAGGACCATGGCCCCTCTATCCTGCAGCATCTCCAGGAGGAAAGCACAGCTCTTTCAAAGCCTGAGAAAGAGTACAAAGAAGGAAGATTAACACCTATGTAAAAACTCAGCCAATGGCAAGAGTTTCTGGGAGACTGCAGTTCAGCCTTTCTTTTTTTAAGTCTAGCCCTCAAGGACGCTGCTCCTCACTTAGAAAGGATTTTAGAGCTCTGAGCTCTGGCAGTAGTTCTCCTAATGCACAAATGTTTGACCTTGGATGACACCGACCTGCCAAAAAAGCACGAAAAAAAAAAAAAGGTGTTGCTGATATTTATTTATTTTATGCTCTGATTCCTCATTCATCATCAGGTAAATTCGCTCTTGGCAGCACCGGCAACTTCCTTAAACGCAGCCAAGGTGACCACTAAAATTAGCATCAAATCCCAGCGACGCTTTACATCACGCTCACGTTATTTTTCACGGGGTGTTTTGCTCTTGTTGCGGCTCCGGGGGGAAAGACCTTAATGGGGGCAGTGCCCCTATGGGGACTGAGTGACCGGCACAAGCAGCCCCCAGCATCCCCACAAAATTCCTGTTCCACTGGAGATGTTCTCTCGCCTCTTGCCAAGCTGCGTTACGAAAACGTCTGAAGAAACAGCATCGGCTCAGACCTCAGACAGTAAAACACGATTTTCTTTCTCTCTCATAAATTTTTGCTTAATGAAAAGTCCTTGAGGAGCTCATTTCTCTGTCGGGGCCAAGGAAAATAACCATGTGCGTGGCTGAGCAGCGCCAATAGCCATGAACGTGAGCAACGCTCTGCGTGTCCTGGTGTTACTGAACATCTGCATCTGAACTCCTCAGAGACCTCCAGAGAGGGGAGCAGAGGGATGCAGAGCACTTCACACTGGCTGTCTCTGATGGTGCTGTCCTTGGAGCACCCAATGCTCCATTGCCATGCTTTTCCCATGGGCAGAAAGCACAGACTTCTCAGCAGACTATCATCTTGTTTGGTTATGGCAGCAAGCAGTAGGGATATTTGGAGAATACGGCCCAGGTTGGGTGGTGCTGGGTGGATGGACACATCCCTCTCAGGTTTTGAGCTAGAGAAGCCAGGCAGGTGATGCTATTCTGCATTGTAATTAAATGTCATGGTCTAGGAGTAATCACAGCTCATTGAAACACAGTCCTGGTAACAGTGAGTGCTTTGCAGAGCTTCAGGGCAAGTGCAATGCCCCAGAACCTGGCAGCACAGTGCCAGGAGGAGTGGTTTGGGATGTGCCCAACGGCTCTGTAGGCCTCTGTACAGTCACAGCCTCACTGCTTTATCCTAGATTGCATATAAAGAGGAAATTGTTCATGCTAAGGGTGGTGAGGAACGGCACAGGGTGCCCAGACCAGTGGCGGTGCCTCATCCCTGCAGGCACCCACAGTCAGGCTGGACAGGGCTCTGAGCACTGATGGAGCTCTGGGTGTCCCTGCTCAGTGCAGGGAATGGGACCAGATGGCCTTTAGAGGTCCCTTCCAACTCAATTCTATCATTCCTCATCCTCTGAGGAAGTTGCAAGCACAGATATACTTAAGCTGGGAAACAGAAGAGGGTCTCTAATCATCCCTTGCTGATTCCCCCGGCTACATCTTCCTGCCCAAGGATGTGGTGGGGGTGGGTTAATGGTTGGACTTCATGGTTGGTATTTTCCAATCTGAATGATTCTATGATTCATTCTCCCTTGTCCTATCTCTGTCTGCCCATGTAAAAAGTTGTTCTTCCTCCTCTTGTTTATAAGCTCCTGAAGGGCTGCAATCAGCTCCCCTTGGAGCCGTCCTTTCCCCTGCTGAATAACTCCAGCTCCCTCAGCCTTTGTAGCAGTGACCCTTATTTTTCCATTAAAAAAAAAACACAACAAAAACAGACTAAAAAAACCCAAAACCAACCAAAAGAAAAAAAAAACAAAAACAAAAACCAAAAACAAGGAAAGAAACATTAAAAAACCCACCAACCCCAGCATTCAGCCAACAGGTACAGCCGCACTAGAGGGCAGTGCTGCCCGCCACAAGCAGCGGTGCAGGGCATCACTCTCCTCAAGCAATAGGCAGAACTAAATCGATCATAAAAATAATAGAAGCTCCTTTTGCTAAGCTGCAGCATGACTGCATAAGAAGTGCAACAGCCAAGCCTCTGTCTCAATATTGCAGTCCTCATGCACAGACAGCTTCCCCTCACCTTGCTGCACCACCCCGCAGAACCTCATGCTGGCTCTGCAGCTCCTGTCCCACTGCAGCACCCCAAAACATCCTGAGGATCTGCAGCATCTCCCATCCTGAAAGGTGAGGGCATCTCCCCTTCACATAGCCTTGTGCTGGGTATGAACGCAGCCAGGGCATTTCTTGGGCTGGTGATGCTCTGAGCTTTCCTGTGTACAGCAGGGCTGTGTCTCTCGCTCTGGGTTTCTCTGTTTCAGGTGTGACTTTTCTTCAGTTTCCTTTCACCAATAGATATCTATTAGGAGAAGAAGAGGGAGAATGTTTTCATTTCCCTCCCTGAAACCATGACTTCCACCAGGACCTCTGTGACCCTAGTGAGGTCAACGAGGGGTGGGGGTTCATGGGCTCAGAGCACCTCTCCCATGTGGCTCACACCCACCCACCCACGGCAGTGACAGAGGGACAGACCTACTCTGATGTGCACTGTGCAGACACTGCACGTGACTGTGTGTCCCCTGGCAGCCAACTGCCCCATTGCAGATTTGGGACCCAGGACAAACAGCTCCATGATGTTTAACCCCCGCCCTCCTGCTGCACTGCACAGCCCCCACGAACAGATCCTATCTGCTGGAGATTTATTTCCAGTCTTCTTTTCAAGACATGATGTCAGGATTACAATAACCTGACTAAGGCAAACACTGGATGGAATTACTATTGTGTTTATCAATTTCCTACTTCTTTTCTTGTCCTGATTAATCATGGGACGGCGCGATGGAAAAGTCCCGTTAGAGCAACCTGTCCCCCAGCCAAGGCAGGGCTGATCTGTCCATCCACCACCATGTGTTTCATCCAGCCTATTTTTAAACAATCCCCAGCGACAGGACTTCTTGAATCACAGGAGCGAGAAATGGAAAAGACCTATTAGCTCATGCTGTCTGTCTCCTGGCCAGTGCAGGCTGTTCCCTGCAACCCCATTTGCAGTGTTTCAGCTTCCACCTTTCCTTCCCTTGGGAGAGCACTCTGCTGGCAAGCAGCTCGCACACTCAGGTTTGCTTGATGTCATGCTGGAAAGCACAGATCTCCAGCACTGGCCTCAGCTGATCAACTGCACTTTATTCCTGAGTAGGGTAAGCAAGTGTGTGCGCTGCAAATAAAAGTCAAATGCATTGTGCAACAACAGCAGGGTGATGCCACCCCACATCAATGCCCAGTGATGGGCAACAAAGGGGCCTCATGGAGGAGCCCTGCTCAATATGGAAAGGGATGGAAATGTGCAGCCCTGCTTGGGGCAGAGGGGTGCTTGCACAAAGCCTGCACCCCAACAGCCCAGCTTTGTATGCACCCAACAGCTCAGCTCTGCAGTGTGATGGAACATCAGCCTCCTTCTCCATTCCTCACCCACCATGAGAATGGATTCTGTGCAAACAGATGACAAAAAATAATTTGGAAGCTTCTCAATTCCTTGCCTGCGCTGACTGCTGCCAGCACTGCTGCACCAACAGGACCTGGCATGGCTTGTGCCAGCTGCCAGGACCTGCCCTGCTCAACCCCCCCACTTCCTAGTGCTGCCTCCATTCTGAGGGGTTGCAAGCAAGACTGACAGCCCAGCCATAGGCAGGCTAAAGAGCCTGCTAATTGGTTTTTAAGCAGGAAGAGCACACACCTGCCTGCAAACCCCACCAGCTTGCCTGTGGTACATGTGTGTGCCTGCTGCATCCTCTGTGCCTGCACCGCTCATGTCTGCAAAGCCCCCTGCAAAACACTCAGACCCACAGTGCTGGGGGCTGACATGGATGCTAGGGGCTCACATAGGTGCTGGGGGCCGTGCCCTGCAGCCGTGGTTCTCGGAGCTGCCTTATCTGCTTTGAGTAATCAAAAATAATTGGTTGCTCTCCAGTGGACTGATCTAATAGCAGTACGAATAAAGTTATTTTGAACAGTTGTTCATGAGTTCATCTCCTGGAAAGCCTCAGCACCAGCTGTTGCTGTGCTTTTGATTAAAAAAATAATATATATATTAAACTCAAACTGGGGATTATCAGAGCTAAGCACGTCTCAGCCCTCCCTCCTCCCAGTGTCAGGTGCCCAGCCAGGCTATAGACTGCTCTTTGTGTGCAGCTCCTTCACCCCTTTCTCTGTGAGCTGGCAGCGGTGCAGTGCAGATTTGGCTCCTTGCAGTGTGCTGGGCAAGGGATGCTGGCACAGCCCTGGGTTTGCCAGTGCCTGGGGCTGGCATTCATGCTGATGCAGAAGGTTTATCATGCAAATGGTCCCCGAGGCCTCCGGCCAAGTCCATTTGTTAATGGTCAAACTATGGGAAGCTGGTTAGGGAGAAGCAAATTGAATTAAGCACAACTGGGGAAAGGGGGGGGAAGAAGGGGGGGTGAGGAGTGAGATGTTTGTGGAGGTTGGAGGGTACATGGGGACAGAAGGAGACCTGCACTGGGCACCCATGCAAGGAGGTGCAAAAGGGCTGCATGAAACAGGGCACATCTCTGAAGATAAACAGGGCATCCTCATGTCCTGGGTCACTCCATCCCTAAGGAGCCCCAGCAGCGAGACAGCAGCCTGGACTGGGGCAGAACAAAGAGAGTAGACATGGGGGGAAGTTCTTGCTGAGATAATGAGAGAGAACCACAAAATCACAGAGCATCCTGAGTTGGAAGGGACCCATAAGGGTCACTGAGTCCAACTCCTGGCCCCACACAGGACCACTCAAAAATCAGATCATAGAATATGGACAATGAAGATCTAGACAACAAAGAAGAGTTTCAACTCAGCTTTCCATACCTAATCAGTTATGCAGGATCAGTTATCCCCCACATCCACTCAAGGAGCTCCCTCCCTTTGAATAAAGATAGCTGTAAAAGCAAAACGATGAACACGCACTGATAATTGTGGCAAGGTCAAGAAAGCAGTACTCAGTGACTGAGAGGTGATAAAAGGAGAACTGGCAGAAAAACATCTCAGTGGTAACAAACGCTGAATACATTCAAGGCTGAACATCCAGTCTTGCAGCAACGCTGTGCACTTGTATGGAAGGGGATGTGCAGTTGGACCAGCAGTCCTTGCAGTGCTCATTGAGTTAAGATTAAGTCACAGTGTCTCAGTTTTCTCAACTCCTTTCCCTGACTGCAAAAGCCAGGCAGCAGACCCAGCTCAGAGCAGGTTTCTGGATGCACATTTTGCACCGCATCCCACTCCCTTGGCTTTCTCTCCGTGGCTCTTATTTTCCTTTTCGGCATCAGCATCTAAACATCTGGGTCACGGCGGAGCTTAGAGCTGGAAGCGACACAATATTACGAGAAAGGATGTTTTTGTACTACTTCCAACCTTCCCAGAACAGAGAACTGCAGAACCCCCTCCACAAAGGCTGCTTTCTTCCTCTGCACTACTTTGAAAAGATGGGTGAAATCCTCACTTATCGCCTCTACCACTGGGGACGAGACAGAGACGATCAGAAAGGAGGGGGAAGGAACCATGAAGAACACAGCCAAGTGCTTTTCTTTCTTTTCACTCTCCTGTGTGTTTACTTATTTTAGCTTCTTTGGGTTCAAGCCACATATTTGGAGCGATTCCCACCTGCTCTGTACTTGGGGACCATTCTACAAACATCCCCACAGACAACTTTCTTCTGTTTCCCCCCTGCTAAAATGTCGGTATCTTGCTGAAGTGCTGAAAGAGAACAAATCTGAGGGTTTGTAGGGATGTTTTGCTGCCCAGCACCCCACAGGCCAGGTACTGAGCATCGCTGCCCACCCAATGGGCACAGGGATGTGTCCTGACCTGCACTCCTCCACTCAGGAGGGTTGGGGCTCATGGCACTGTGCCGACACCAGAACCGACACAGGTCTCATCTGGCCACCTGCGGTCCTTCTCTTGTCCCCTTCTGGGACCAGAGCTCACCTCTAGCCCGACCAGGACACACTTTGAGCCTTTATGGAGGTGTTGCCAGCTGGAGTGTTGCTGCTCGTAGCAGGAGGGATCTGTGCTGTGCAGCCCACACCAGTGCCTGGCCCATGCTCAACTATGCTCCATGCATCTGAGTGACGGCAGCCCTGTGCTCTGCCCCTTCTGCAGACCCCCACAGCTAATCCCCAGCTGCCCAGGGCAGGACTCAAATCAAGGATCTGAATCCTCTCTACCTCTCCCCCCTTCAGCCCATTTTTCCAGCCTTGCAGGGAAAGCCTTCGGGGTGCCCTCATCTCTCTGCATTCACTCTGTGCTGCACCAAGACCTGCATGTCCCCACACCTTGTGCAGCTCCAACTATACTGCTCTGCTCCTGCATAGAATCATAGAACCATTCTGGTTGGAAAAGCTCTCTCAGATCACCAGTCCATCCCCAAGCCATCCCACCATGCCTACTGACCATGTCCCTCAGTGCCACACCTCCACTTCAACACTTCCAGGGTGTAGCAATTGGACAGATCAATATGAAAAGGTTTTTTACCAGAGGTGCAACAACAGAAGGATCAGCACCATACAAAGGTGTTATTAAGAAAGGGAAGAAAATCACTTACTTGTATCAGAAGATTCAAGGTTCACAGGGGAAAGCTTCACCAGGGAGGGATGTCCAGAAAAAGACCCCTCCCCAGTGGCAGTCAGCCCTTAAATGGGGTCTAAGAGAGCTGCAGCCAGGTTCCACCCCGTCTGGTCACGCAGCTGAATTGCCTTCGCCTCTGCTCCCAGGATTGACCAGGTCCTTTCCCCAGGTGCTCAATCAGTGGTTGATGCTGTGATTCAATAGTTCCCATACACAGGGACATTAACCCCTCCCTCCCACCTGCCTGGGCAGCAGTGCCAGTGCCTGACCGCTGTTGGGGAGAAGCAGCTTGTCCTAATAAGCCTTCTCCCACCTCACTGTCTATCATGGGGTAAAATCCCATGCTAAGAAACTGGAAACACCACATTCTCTTGTCGTACAAAGCTACATCCCAGATCTACTGAAATCTGTCATACAATCACATAATGGTTGGGTTGGAAGGGATCTCCCAGCACCACCCCTGCCATGGGCTGGCTGCTCCCCTCCTTCCCCCCCTCTCCAAGCTCAGGCTGCCCGGAGCCCTTCTAAGGCCTCAGGGACTTCTAGGGATAGGGCACCCAAACCTCCATAAACAGCTACAAGGAGATCTGCACAGCACAAATAAAGCCATGCTGAGCTTTTTGCTGCTTTCAGCATCCTCACAGTAGTACCCACAAGCACAGCATCCCACTGCAGCCCAGCTCCTGCCGTGACCCCATCAGCAGAGAGGGCAGCACCGTGCATGTTCCTCCCTGTGGTTTCCATCTGTACAACTGGGATCAAACGGGGCAGAAGCCTCAAGCCCAGCCCTGCTCCTGTCCCATCAAAGAAAACTGTCCCAGGTATGGGTGAACCACGCAACGTTCCTATTGCAGCACATCCCTTCTGCAAGCAGCCCAAAAGAGAGAGTCAGAAGAACATAGTTTATCATATACATAATCTCAAAAAAAAAAAAATAAAAAAATAAAAAAAAAAAACACAACAAAACAGCCCTCGTCTTCTAGATTCCCAGACAGTACACTCAGCATCCTCATGCTACTGATGTAATCTTGGAGGAAGGTCCTCTGGGCCCACACTCATGGAGCAGGAGCAGTGCTCGGAGCTCAGTGCAGCCCTGCATGGAGATGGGCACAGCCCCAGCCCTGCACTGGGAAGGTCCCAGTCCACCTCCACAGCTGCTGGTGGTCTGAGTGCTCTTCAGTGCCCCTGGGAACAGGCAGAGTTCAGTGCAGCTCCTCGTGAATGTCTCTATCCTCTGTGCTCAGCTGCAGGGAACGTCAGCCAGGAAGGAAAATGTCATCATCACTAATAGGAATAAAAGCATCCAAGCAGGTAACAGCACAAGCAGTGCCCACCCTCAGCACTGAGCACTCTGCAGCCAGCTGAAAGCGCCGCAAAGCAAACCTTGAGCTGAGGTACAGCAAGCAAAGCACGAGATAAGGCAGTGGAGTTTTGCCAGAGTGTATATTTGACCCAAATTGTTTCGGCTGCAGCTGGGTGGGTGATTCACTGCGTGCAGCTCCATCAATGGGCTTGGCCTGGCTCTGTGTTTGTGACTTGTCTCCGGAGAGACGGAGGGTTTCTGTGTTTTGTTTGTATGGATGCCTTGGTTATCCTGGGAACCGTGACACGCGCGGTGGGAACGCTGGCTGCCTGCTCCTGTGGATGATGCACGTGTTGGGCCCGGCTCAGACCTGACTGCACAGCCAGCCTGGAGCCCTCCTGCCCACACCTGACCTCAGCAGCTCACAGCTTCACATCACCCGGCCCTGAGCCTCAGCTCATCCAGCAGCAGGAATCACCAGGAGAGATCCTTGTGGTGCGTGGATGGAGAACGCAAGGGCTGTGCTGGATCCCAGGGATCCCTCAGTGCGCTCTGTGGGAGGACAGGAGGAGACAGGCATAGATAGGGATGCGTGAAGCTGGACACCCAGCAGTACTTGTTCTGCCTCAAACTCCTCTTGCCCCCGAAGGAAGCAGGATGCAGTAAGTGAGACACCTGGTCTATCCATGGGCAGAGAATGGGACAAAAATGCACCCCAGGACAGACCGGCCCCATAAGGACTCACATGGAGAAGTGCCTGCAGATTCTGTCCATACAAAGCTCAAATATTCCACTCCCAAATATTCCTCTCTCAAGCGGCTCAAGCACGGCCTTTCTGCTTTGGCATTCCAACAGCTCAAACCCCAACATTTTGTTTTCCTGACCAGTAAGTCTAGAAGTATCTTCTGCAGCATGGTGAGATGGGGACAGCAGCCACCATGGCTGGGATGCACCCCGTCACTCCCAGCTGTTTTTTGGGGCTCTCACTTTCCCTCCAGCACATCACCACCACCACCTTCCCATTGCTAAGGCAGCAGACGGCAAACAGACATGAAAAAATGCTGAAAATGCAACAAAAATGCCACAGAGTTGCTTGTCCTTTTGGATTCAGTTTTTGGTCAACTAAATTGTTATTGAATGAGAAAAGCTTTGTCAAAAATGTACTCTGATGAAGTGCAGCAGGGGCTCTGGCACTGTTTCCTCAGATCCATGGAGGTTTTAATCCCTGGGTTCTCTAAGAAACTGAGTGACACATGCTTTAAAGAGAATATATTTGCTCCTTGGCATTTCATGGATGTCACCTTTTAAAGGCTGCTGCCCGCTTTCAGCCTGAGCTGCTGGTACTGCTTGGGGATGGGGTGGGTCCTTCATTACAGAATCACAGTCATTCAGGTTGGAAAAGCCCTCTCAGATCCCACCATGCCCACCGACCACATCCCTGAGTGCCACATCCCTGTGGTTCTGGAACATTTCTGGGGATGGTGACCCCACCACATCCTGGTGCAGCAGCGACAGTGCCTGACTGCTCTTTTGGAGCAGAAAGTTTTCCAATGGGATCAGGGAAATCTGGAGCTGCCCTGGAGGAGGAGGGCAAGCAGGCACAGCTCGCTGCAGTGTGCTGCTCATGGCATTAGGGAAATACACAACTTATTTACTAAAAACTCAGTGCTATGCCCAATTTTATCCATTTGCTGCAAGCAACAGAAGCAGGGCTCCTATATATGCCCTGCTAAAGAGCCTGGAAAAAAAAAAGCCCCAAACCAAAACTGTGGCGGGCATCCTTGTGGCAGCTGCTGTCTCCAGCCTGACTCCGGATGCGGAGGAGGATCCCGGAGGCACGAAGGACAGACGCTGCTCATCAGCCCTTCCTTATCTCCTGCTAAAGTCCTCTCTGTTTGGATAAGCCAGGGCTGGAGAGAGCAATATCTGCGGCGGCGAGGAAAAGCCGCTGGCAGATCTCTTCTGGCCTGGGAGAGCCTCGCTCAGGGAGATATTAAAGGCTTTTGTTTCCAGGAGCTGTCAAAACCCTCACCTTTCACAAGCACTAAAACGACCAGGGGAAAAAATATATGCGAGTGGAATAATAATTTTTAACTCATAAATTTGAGCTCGTAAATCAAGGATTGAAGGAGCAGTCGTTGTAATGTCTCGTGAGTTAACATTCGAGGTTTTCTTTCACCTGAGGAAAAAGAAAAAAACACCCGGCTCTCTGCCCTTCCACTCCAGAGTCGGCCATAAATCTCGTTAATGTTACAGCCCTGCTCTTAAACAGACCCAACGCATGAGCATGGGGAGCAGATAGCGAGATGGGGCGATTTCAGAAGCATGGCACAGGGAGGAAAGCTTTAAAAAGGCAAAAATCCGACAACCCAGAGCCAGAGTGATCCCTCTCCTCTTGGAATGGCAGAGGGCACATCCTGACCTCCGAGCAGCACTTTGCAGCTCAGGTGGTGATGAACCATATGGGTGAGCTGAGGCACCTCCTGGAGACCCCACATTTTGCTCACGCTAGGGCCAAAAGCAGAAAGGAAGCTCCTCAAGCACTGAATGTTTTGTCAGCTTATCTTCATTGCAGGTGCCTCCACTGCTCTGTCAGTTTGAGACCCTGTGCCATGCATGCAGCTCCAGCAGTGCACTGGGAGGAGGGAGGCTGCAGGAGGAGGAGGAGGAGGAGGAGGAAGGCATTGGCATGCAGAGCACAAGTGTGTGCGGGGCACTCGTCTGCCTAATCCAGAGTGTTCAAAGCGGCGGGCGCAGCTGTGGCCGTCTGAGCTCCAACAGGTGACGGCTCAGCTGTGCTTCCCTCGGGCTCTCCATCAGCCCCCGCGCACACTGCTGGCTCCAGGGGGGGCTGCTCCCCACGTCTCCGAGGGGCCATTGGCTCCTTCCTGCCCTGCGAACCCTTCTAAGCGCAAATGAGGGCTGCCTCCTGCCCTGTGCAGAGCAATGGTCCTAAAAAGTGCTGGAAAGAGCTGCTGGAAAAGCAGGAGGGAGCTCCTGGGTCGTGCTTACGGAGCAGAGGTGGTGAGCAGCATGCTCCTGTGCAGCTGGGGAAAGGGCAGGGGATGGCTGGGGTAAGGGCCAGCTTCGTGTGAATCCCCGTGGCTGTAATGCAAGGACAAATAGCCAGAGCAAATCCACAGCTCTGCTCAGCCCCTTCAGCTGGGAAGTGCTGTACTCCAGGTCACTGCTGCAAGCTCCCAGTGCACCCAGCAGCAGGAACACAAGAGGCTATTGGAGCAAATGCAGCCATGCAGCATGGCTGGTGCAGCCAGAGGGATTTTTTGCTCTGCTTCCAATTGCCCATTTGCTATCTGGAGGTTGCAGCAGCAGAAATGAGCATTTGGCAGCCAGGATGCTTCCAGGAGCCCCTGGCTTTGCCCAGGGCATCCCAGCCCACACCTATGCCTGCAAGGCCAAGCGGTGGCTGCTGGAATAGGAAAATGTGGGGCCAAATTATATACCTGTGCATGGCTTAGTGGAAGTTGCACACTGATGCCACCCCAAGAGAGACACAAATTTCCCTTATTTATATATGAAAAAGATGAAGCACAGCTTGAAATATGTCTGCCCTTGACACGGCTCAATGCAACCTGCCAGATTGGCGGTCCTGTGAAAATACCACTTAAAAAATAAAACAGCCCCTGAGCCATCCCTTTCCCTGTGGTGGAGGTGGTGGGCAGGTCTGGGGATGCTGCCATCACAGCAGGGTCCAGTGCTGACCCCCTGCCGCCCCTCCAGCCCTGTAGCAATGCAAGCAGCCCGCTGACATCCTCCTTAATCCCTCGAGCTGCGACTGTCTGAGCAGCGCCGTTATTCAAGTGGCCTCCAGACCCCTTCCCCACTGCTAATTTCTACTCATCTGCATATTTTATTGAAAATTAAAATCCTTTTGCATTTTTCCCAGGGCTCAGTTGTGAAAAATCTTTTAACGGAGCCCTACTTGACTCCAATTAGTTGGGATAACAAAGCTTCCGCTGTTTGAGGATTATTGACAAATGCACGAGGAAAAGAATGCCGAGAGAATAGCCTATTAAAATGACAGCTTTTTAAGCCTGGAAACAAAAAGCCCTGACGATTAACAGTGCTGAGGAGGCACAGGAAATACCGAGCCTCAGTTTTTTGCTGGCATTTCAATTGATTAGCCTGCTCGAGCCATTCCTTTGTGTCCCACTCCTTAGTGGGTTCTTAGTGGGGGCCAACTGGTGCCCATTGATGTGCCCAGAGCCCGGTGCCCATACGTGTGCACAGCTGGGACACAGAGTCCTAGAATCACTGAATCAAAGAATGGTGTGAGTTGGAACGGACCTCTAAAGGCTGGTCTCACTCCCTGCACTGAGCAGGAACACCCACAGCTCCATCAGTGCTCAGAGCCCCGTCCAGCCTGACTGTAGGTGTGTGCAGAGATGGGGCACCGCCACGGGTCTGTGCACCCTGTGCCGTTCCTCACCACCCTTAGCATAAATTTTTCTTTATACACAATCTTAATCTCCCCTCTTTTACTTTGAAACCATTTCCCCTCATCCCATCACAGCTCCTCATCCTGAATCCACCCAAACCAAAGCTGGCAGCAATCCGGCTGCCCACGGGTGAGCAGTGCCAGGGCACAATGACACCAGCGATGGCTTTACCATAGCAGCGAGGGGAATCTGGGTAAGAAAATGCATCCACAGCAGTGATGCAGCCCCCGCCCTGCTGAGCCCCTGCTGTGAGGCTGCCCCCAGCCGTGGTTCCCATGGGCGCCCGCAAACCTGTGCCGTGCAGCTGCGCCCATGGCACAAAGGGACTGAGGAGCATTGAGAGCGGCACAACTCTTTCGCTGATCACTCCTTAATGGTGTTTCATATTTCCACCCCCCCCTCACCCTTCCCTTATTTATTTATTTTTTTTTAATAAAAGAATAGTGGGGTTAAAAATGAAGCGTACTTGATAAACGGCCGTGAGTGTTATCCCCAAATAAATAAATAAATAAATAAGCGAACAGAGCTTTTTTTCTTTCCTAGGTGGCTCGGACAGCTGGCTCTTTAAATATTAATCAGGGGCTCATTGATATGCAAATATGCAAAGAGCGAATAATGCAGCCGCAGCTGCACAGCCCCCAGCGGCCCCGGCAGTGCTGGCCTCCTCTCCACCATGAATGGGAATATCTGAGGACACAGGTGCAGGGAGCCGACCGCGTGCTTAATAAGGTAATTTGTGAGCGATGCTCTATAGAGATGAACCGGAGCAACGGAGCAATCTTTTACCACTCGACAGTATCTGACCACCAAACAAGGTGTTAATCTTATAATTGTGCTGTTGACTGTTCCCTAGCACGGCGTTCCTGGCCTTCTGCCCTGACACTTGGCCAGTTAAAATCAACTGAACTGACACGTCGGAAGCGTGCCAACCGATCGGCGATAAATTATTTATTGTTCTATTTCCAAAATAACAAGTAAACAGGAAAGGCAGGGCATCCCACGGAGACAGCCCGCTGTGTCGGAGTTGGGCTTGGCTGCTCTCTGTGCCCTGTCCCCATGCACTCACCTCCTCCTGCTGGGGAGAGACCGTGTCCCGTCCCATCTGATATCCACTGCAGGGTCCAGTGGTGCCACCCCGTGTCCACTGCAGCAAGGCGGGCTCTGTTTTGGGCTCACACCTCTTGTGCAGCTCCCAACGCTCACACTTCTCCAATGAGCTGGGGACCAAAACTGCAGAAGCAACACCAGTGCTTGCAGTGGACATTGCAGCAGGTGGCTGCTGGCTCCCTCAAGCACACGGAGCAGAGAGGACAAGAGGGTTGGGGACATGAGCTCCAGTGCAGCACTGTGCTCACTGCCATGCCTTCTCTCCCGTGCAGCTAATGGATGCCCACAGTAGGGATCAGAGGGTCACAGGGCTCAGTGCTTTGCAGCATTTCCAGCCCTGTTGGTCCAGGGCACCGTGTGCTTGCAGGGCACAGCAGGCACATTTTGCTCTCTCCTGGAGTTCGCTATAGCAGAGGTGCTGAGAAAGGGACACAGTGCCTGCACTATGGCATCCTACCCAATCTCGACCCCATCCCAATGCAGCCTTTGGGACTGGCCCTTCATTCCCCATTTCCACACTTCTCGCTCTGCACGGGGAAGGGATACACATCCCACTGCCTGGAGCAGTGCTGGCCCCGGCCTCAGTGGAGTCCTCGATGGGGCTACTCTATCCCATCAACACACGAGAACGCTTCCTGCCCCAGCGGGGAGCTTTGTCACCCATCTCTAGCAGCAAAGGGAAAGCAGCTCAGGCAGCAGATACAATAACCACAGTCCGCATAGCGCTTTAAAATTTGCCTCCTGTGGTTGCCGTCCTCCTCTTCCCTGCCAAGCTTCCTCACCCGGTGATGAATGACCTCGTCTGGGTACCGCCGGTACCAGGCGAGCGCAGCTGCGGGGCTGCTTTCCAGGGCGGGCGCTGCAGATGGCCGCTCTGCACCCACAGCACAGCTGCACGCTGGGGCTGCCACACCATGCCACAAAGGGACAGAACACAATGAATGGGAGCAGGGGAACGGGCAGGGAGGGATGCTGGGGGGTCTCCAGGAGTGGGTCTGTGTGGTGAGGGCTGCACACACGGCATGGTTGTGCCCAAAGGGCTGCATGGAGATGGGGAGATGCTACTTACAGAAAGCGACAGCTTCTCATCCTCCTGGCTTCAGTTCTGGCTTTTCTGGTGCTGGTGCTCAGCCTCTGGTTCCAAGTCAAGAAGCAAGCTTGCATTGCCTATAAGCAGGTCTGTGTTGGAAATGCTGCAGACAATGCCCTCCCAACAAGATATTTTTTTTGGAGAAAAACCTGCTTGAACAGTAAACCTCAGAACTTGCCCAATTACTAAGCTAAACTGGAAGCAACTCCCAGTTTCCCATGGGGAAGGAGACACAGAGCTGCCCCCACCTGCAGCCTGGCAACATTCAGCCCTCCCGTCCAAGCCAGGAGTTCCTGCACTGTGAATCCAGGGCAGAAAATCTGCACCCAGGCAGCACTGGATGGCTGCAACAGAACCAAGGGCGTGATGGGCTGCACCTTGCAAAATCATCTCAGACTGAAGTCATTTATACTCATTGTGCCACCTCAGAATTTAGTGCTTTGCAAAACCATCTCAGCCTTTTACAGCGACTATTCCAAGAGGTGAGAACACTTACTGATTTGCCTTTTGTTTCCAAAGCCTATCTACCTCCTTCAGGATTTCAGCACTACCATAATTGTTAGCATCTTTCACAGAATCACAGAACCATTCAGGTTGGAAAAGACATCTGGGATCCTCAAGCCCAACCTCAACCTATCCCACTGAATGTGCCCCCAAATGCCACATCTCCATGGTCCTTGAGCACCTCCAGGGATGGTGACCCCACCACGTCCCTGGGCAGCAGTGCCAGTGCTTGGCACCGTTCTTTCAAAGAAGTTGTTCCTCTTACCCAACCTGAACATCCCCTATTGGCAGCAAAACTGGGTCAAAAGCTGCAGCGTGGAGACTTCACATTCCCACATAGCCCCTGCCCATGACTTCAGAATGGCCACAGCCATGGCTGGCCCAATTCCCACTGCGAGCCACCTGCCCGATGTATTGCCACTGGAAATATTGGGAAGGACTTAAGCATATACATCCCTAAATGCTTTTTCAGCTGACTGGATTTTGCTTGGTTAATCCAAGTTTGTGCGTGTACGAAGAGCAGATATCGGCCAGACACAGTGCATACGGATCTATTTGCTCCTGTGCATTGCAGGGTGCAGCTGCTGCCAGCAGCCCCCATGCTTGGGCTCCTGAAATCCACCTGCAAATATGTGCCCAGTCTCTCTGCCTCAAGTGGGCAATGCCTGGCTGTGGCACTGAGCTCCCCAGGATGCACTAAATGACAGACTGTGCTCCACCGTCTCCTTTCAGGGCTAAAATAGCTCTTCTCAAAGCAAGCAGCAAAACATGCACATTCAGCCCTAAAGCGTGGCCTGCCTCTGCGTCTGTCAGCCCAGCACCAGGGCTTCCTCCTGCTTCCCCATAAAGCTGAAAAGCACCCGGCCTGGCTGCTCCATGCTCGGTAACGAGCAATTATTTCCTTCTAAAGTAAAATGAA